GTAGTTGATGTCTTAACATAGCAGAATTCAAGGCCAGATCTCTCCTAAAATTTTTGATTATCATCATTTTTTGTCCTTCGTATTTATGTAAGTTTTTTTGAAATTTTAATGCTTTCCATTTCGTAACTGTGACTATCCACTCAGTCAATCGAAAGCTCCGCTAATTTCACCAAGTTTGTTTTAGCCTTTTTGGAGCATAGCTCATACCAACCGCTCAAATACTAACCAAGTGAGAACGTTCTCTATTTGTTCTTTAATCGGGCATTTGAAAACCTATTAAGTATTTTGATTTCATAGTCTTCACAGTGAGCTTATCAGAAGCAGTCCTTGAGTACAAGCGTTAGTAGTTCTAAACTTAAAAAAAAATGTACTTATCTGAAGATGAAGCTAGTCGTCGTAAAAATAACTATTTTACTAACCATTTACTAACCATTACCTCTCACTCTCTTTTTCTTTCTCTTTCTCTCCGAAATTTTACGCACATGCGCACACACACGCCCGCCCGCACCTACAGATACTCACCATTGGCTGGTGATCTCTTGGCCAATTCGATTTTGCCGGGCAACGCAATGACCGGCTCCGGTTGGTGTATATTCGTCTACAACCTCGCACCCGAAACTGAGGAGAATGTGTTGTGGCAGCTATTCGGCCCGTTCGGCGCCGTCCAATCGGTCAAGGTTATACGCGATCTACAAACGAGCAAATGCAAGGGCTTCGGCTTTGTGACCATGACGAATTATGACGAAGCGGTTGTGGCAATACAATCACTCAACGGTTATACACTCGGCAACAGGGTGTTGCAAGTTAGCTTTAAGACAAATAAAACTAAAACTGCTTAAGTGGAAGATAACAACAAGAAAAAGAAGAACAACAAAAATAAAAACAAAAGCGAGAACAACAGAAGTAACAATAAAAAAGCAGCAGCGACAGGAAACACACAAAAGCAAGAACAACAACTGGAAAAATGAAAGCGAAAGCGCAAGCAAGTAGAACTTTTGTGTAAAGCGAAAAGTAGGAATGAATTGAAACCCAGCAACAAAACACCGCAGTTCAACTTAAAAGAATGCAAAAAAAATATATATATGACATAAAAATATTTAAAAAATTACATAAATTATATAATATACATATATAAAGCACAGGTGTGTGGTCGAAAGCAGCAAAGCAAAATTAAATATACAAAAAAGTGTTGAAAATTGAAATTTACTACCAGTCACGCAGACAGTTAAAAAAAATTATTGATTAAAAAAATAATTAGTGAAAATTATAATTTGTGCANTATATATATGACATAAAAATATTTAAAAATTTACATAAATTATATAATATACATATATAAAGCACAGGTGTGTGGACGAAAGCAGCAAAGCAAAATTAAATATACAAAAAAGTGTTGAAAATTGAAATTTACTACTAGTCACGCAGACACTTAAAAAAATTATTGATTAAAAAAATAATTAGTGAAAATTATAATTTGTGCAAAATTGTTTTAATTTTGTCTATTGTACTTTGAAAATTTGTTAGCAAAAATGATGGATAGACGGAAAGTCGATGCCGTAGAAGAAGAGTTGATGAACGGCGAAATGACAGTAAGGGAGAGTGGAAAGCGTAAAAATGTTAGCTAACAAAATGCTTTCTAGGCAATATTTTTTGTGTGTTCAAAAGCGCCGAGAGTAGTTGAGAGTGCGAGAGCGAGACAACCGTAGCAGTTAGCATAAGCTAGTAGCAAGAACAAAAGAAAAAAAAAACATATACATAAACAAACAAAACATATATATAGATATATATATATTGCATGCTTTGCCATAAACTAAGCGAGCTTTTTACGCCGCGCGATACCCAAAGAGAGAACGAGCGAGTAAGGCATCATTGAAAAAATTCCCGTTAAAAACGATAACTACACTGCAAAAATATACAACATCAACGCTGGCACAAATAGTTATCGCTGAAAGCAGAAAAACTTAAAATTCTCAAAACCCAAACAGCAAAAAACAAAAAAATAAATTCTCAAACTCATCGTATAACTACTTGTATGCATACATATATATTAATATTTATTACTTATTATTAACTATTATAATTAAACAAACTATAAATTATTATGTGGAAAATATTTAAGCAAAATTTATTTAAACCAAATAATTAGTCACACTTGTAAAAGCTCTTTAAACTAATTATTCATTGTACTTAATTAAATTGT